CAATACACTTATTACAAGGTCAGCCAATCTTCATATGAGAATAACAAACTCCACACTACAGCTATAATAATGACATGAGGAACGATATCACTGGAAACATTTTCAGAATTATTTTGAGCTGATGAACGATAAAAACGTTGACAGTAGTACTGGGCGGTATGACCAAAAATGTATATCACGGTATTTTTCTAAATTATACCGGTTTCACGGTACATGACGGTGTATTTTTTTTCATGCATGACCGGGTGTTAACCATATTTTCTACTGATTGAGAGAGGAAATACTGCAGTATATTGACTTAGAATGCCCTATTTTACTGACATGATATTGTCAAAAAATACCACACTAAATAGTGACTAAACACAACCCCTTTTAATACATGTTAACCAGGAGTCACTCTCATTTATAATCGCGGCATCGTCTGATAAAATCAACATGCATCTACACTAAAGAGCGGCTATGCGGTTGTTTTGGCTATATTACTTTTTTGTCTCATGCAGCGCACTGCCTGCGTCTAAGTAACAAACTAAAAAAAGCAACAAACAAAAAAGTGCATGTGATATTAACAGACGAACTACGCTCATATTTATAATTCCAAACAATCAGTAAGCGACAGGTGCTAGGAAATGCGGTTTTGTACTCATTTATTGACGAATCGGCTACGGTGCGGCCAACTGAATGCGCTGCTTCTCTGCCGCTCACTGCACAGAACAGACGCCGAGAGAGGTGACACTTCTCCGGGAAAGTCAGACCTCGCGTTCGCGGGACAGCACTGGCGAAATCTTCCCACTGAACCATAGCTAAGGTTTATCCAAAAAGGTCGCTAGGATTGTCAGTATGAATATTCTATGGGGAAAAAAAACGCTAAAAGGGTCTGAAAGTTGCTAAATCTAGTGCTAAAGTCGCGCTCGTGTGTGTGTGTGAGATGCGGGAGCTGATGGCAGGGGGCGGTGGATATTTGTGGAGGTCAATGTGAATATTGTGGATGAGTTCTTCTGTGTCATCACGTTCTATTAGTTCTTCAGCTTCAGTTTCGGAACGTACACGCTTAGTAATACATACAGCTGTTCCCTCACCACAGAGCAACAGTGAAAAAGGACCCCTTTTCAAAAAAATGTTGCGTTCCGAACATTGTTTTGTGCAAGCGACATATTACGGTATTTTAAAAAATCATATCATAACAAAAATAAACACCGGTATTCGGTATGAACCGGTATACCGCCCAGCACTAGTTGACAGCCAATCAGAATCCACTCAACTTTTAATGAGCTTGAGCATTTAAATTATATGTTGGTGTGGATGCTAATACAGTTAGGCCTATCATTAGTTACCATTATCATGAACAAGCATTAATCTGGGATTAAGTATCTTGCTCAATATCAAATTTGTGATAATCTTGGGGTTCATATCTTGTGTGATTCGAACCCATAACTTTAGTTACTAACCCAGACCTTTAATTACAACACCATACTACCTATACCGTGCTACAGTTAGCTTCATGTAAATCTCTCTAAAAAAACAACAACTATTTAATAATGACCTTAACTGTACAAGAAACAGTGAAACAGAGTCTCACTGCAGAGGTTCTCGCCTCCAACCTCCCATTTACTCTCTTCAATTCATGTGTCAGTAATTAAAGGGGTCCTATTATTTTTCACTTTTTCAACTTTAGATAGTCTGTAATGTTGCTGTTTGAGCATAAAAAAGATCTGCAAAGTTGCAAAGCTCAAAGTCCATTTCAAAAGAAGATATTTTATTTAACAGAAATCACTTTTCAAAAACAACAACAAATGACTCGTTTGGACTACAACGCATATTTTCCGGGATTTGTGATATCACAAATACCGACGAATGGGACGAGACCTGATTGAGCTGCACTAGAGAAGGTAACGAGTGTTATTACCATGTCGGAGACACGCTAGCTTTCCCAAGGCAGATGAACTTAGAGTGGTTACAATCATCCGGGTTTAAATGGTGCTCAAATTGATTTGATTTTGACGCAATATTTACACTGAAGCTCGCAGGCGGCTATGGTAAGGGGCGTGACATTTCCCGACCAGGCGCCGAGTGGAGCCAATCACAACACACACTGGCCCAGCTAACCAATCACAGCACATTTCGTATTTCAGAAGGCGGGCTTTCATTTGATACAGGAACTATTCGAGCCGTTCATGCCAGACTGGGGAGAGAGGTGTTGTAATAATGTAAAATATGTGAAAAATAATGTTTTTCGAACAACCTAGTATGAGAGCCTGTTCTAATACACCCCCAAAACAAAATCAAGACTTTGTAAAAGAGCATAATAGGACCCCTTTAAACATAGTATGTAACATACTTTTTAAGGAAAGTGAGGGAGGGGGGGAAAGGATGTTCTAGAGATAAGGTCAAAGGGTCAGAGAGCTGGGGCCCCTTTACCCTGACAGGGAAGGGGTGGTGCAGTGTGTGTGTGTGTGTGTGTGGACATCTTATAAATAGCTGTCAGCAAGAAAGCAAAATGGAGAGGAGGATCCTAATTGCTCTGTCTGTCTCTGAAAGTGATGATTTTACACTGAACAAACATCGCTCTCTTTGTGTAGATATCTTGAAGGCTGCCAATTCCCCCACCTCTATGAATTCTACCTGTGTACATGTAGAAAGCCATGTATGCTATCAGTCAAATGTTTGGAATCATTAATATTTTTAAAATAAGTCTTTAATGTTCACTAAGGCTGCATCTATTTGATCAAAATACAGTAAAATTGTGAAATTACAATGAACTATTAATTATTTATTTTTAACTATTAACTATTAATTATTACAATTTAAAAGAACAGTTCTTTTTGAATATATTTTAAAACATAATTTATTCTTGTGTGTTCAGCACCGATGCATTAAATTGATCATGTTACATATCATATTTATAATGTTACAAAATATTTCTATTTTAAATAAATGCTGTTTTTTTTTTAATTTCTCAAATAATCCCCAAACTTTTTCTTGAGCACCAAATCATCATATTAGAATGATTTAAAAGGGATCATATGACAATGAAAAAACAGGAGTAATGACTGCTGAAAACTTTGTAATAATAAATAATAACTTATATTACCACATAAAACAGTTTTTTTGTAATAATAATGTTTTACAATATTACTATTTTACTGCATTTCAGATCAAATAAATATAATACATAAAAAACTTATGACCAGTAGTGTACATGAGCTTTTAAACACAAATTAAATCAATAGTCTCTCCATTTCAATTTAATTTACCCATGAAATGTGCTTACTTAAACCCCCATATTGTTGATAGGAAGATTAAACAGGCCGTCGAGGAAAAGCACAGCTCATTAGCTGCCATTAGCACGGCTCATTTCCTACCATCTGCATATCAAATGCCTTTAGCTTGTTCATCCCAGGTGGTTAAACCATAACCATAAGTGTAACACAGAAGAATCTCCACCACAATAACAATAATAACCAACCATGCTACTATAAAAACAAAACTACAGTGTGGAACAAAGCATCATGAGTGAGGTTTCTGAGGGGCTGACACCTCTTGGATATCAACATATGATTCTGCAAAAAACAGCATAACAGCTCTGTGGCAAACCACCATTAAACGGTTAAAAAGAAGTCAATGTTGTATGTTCGGCACTGGGAATTTGGGACACATTGGTCTCCACTTCACAGCCAGGAGAGTTGAGGCTGACTACTCTGAACATACACACTCAATATGCCCCAAGACACAGCTGATCGATCAGTTCACCGCTCTCCCCGGTGTGATTAACGGCAGGGCAACTAATTAGGTTTTACAATGAAAACCTTTAGATTAGTGCTTCCTGCTTACACATCCTTCATGTTGAATATTTTTTCTTTTTTCATTTCTGAAGGCTTTGGATTTCTCACATGAAAATAGGGAATAAGTAAAAAATACCAGAGGGATGGCAGACTCTCATGACTGCATGTCAAGGTCAATAAATATTTTCAAATATTAACCTTTTCATGGCAAGGTAAGTTTAGCCGATATTTCTGATGATGTTTTTAATAATTTATTAAATCTGTAAAAAAAAAACAATATCTTTTACCTTGGAAAATACACTAATTCTGTACCACAGAAGTCAGTCAGTCATGCAGGAACATCATGAGGGTGAGTAAATCATGACAATTTTCATTTTTAGGTGAACTATCTCTTTAACAGTTGACGCTATGAACTGTAGTTATATGGAAAATAGCCCTGTTAATGCACTCAGCTGCAATTCTTTTTATTTTTACAGATGCTTATACCCCAAGTAACTCCAGGTAGTTCCAAGTAACTACCGTTTAAAAGTTTGTGGTCAGTAAAATAGTTTTTAATGTTTTTGGAAGAAGTGCTAACCAAGGCTGCATTTATTTGATCAAAAAGACAGTAAAAAACACAATAATGGGAAATATTTCAGAGAAATGTTTTCTATAAATCATTCTAATATGCTGATTTGGTGCCAAGATAACATTTCTTAGTTTAATCAATATTGATAGGTTCAATGTTGCGCTGCTTAATATTTTTTTGGGGGGAAAAAATGACACTTTTAAGGATTCTTTGACTAATAGGAAGTTCAAAGGAACAGTTTATTTTTTGAAATATAAATCTTTTGTAACATTATAAATGTGTGTACTGTCACTCCTGATCAATTGTGATGTATCCGTATGGAATAAAAGTATTAATTTCTTAATTTTAAATAGCAGTGCATATTTTGGAATATAATGATTAGATGTGTACACTCACATTTATTTAAGCTGAAAAGAAAATATTACGTTTCATTTAAAATGTTTAGTATCCTTGAGAATAGTTTTTCAAAACCATAAGAAACTGATATGAATCCAGAGAATCTGACACAAATAAGAGTATTTCTAAGCATGTGCTTTAAACTGGACATTCTTATTTGTCAATTTCAGGATATTACAAAATCTTACACAGCCATCATCCTGACATTACTGGCTAACCCCTTTATTAAAAGAAATCAAAATATACAAGTCTCTTACCAAGTGTATCTTTGATATTTTTCACCAGAGAGCCTTTCTTTAGACTGTTCTTGCGTTCGACGTAATTGGAAGGAACGTAGCCTGTTCTGTTGGATGCATTTCGTACACGCCACCATGTTTTTGAGTCATCCAGGAGCCACAAGCGCTCATTTTTCCTAATGTCAAGTTCCTGGTCTTGCTGTGACGTATAGTCCCACTTGGCAATAACAATCGCCTCCTCTGACATCTTTCATGGAGTCCCTCTGCAATATAAATAAAAGAAGAAATTAGAATCCTCGTCTATCCCAAAAGACAAAGTACAAAATAATGCATAAATGCCGTAAAAACAGCAGAATGACAAGAGTCAAGCCGAATAACTTTTTAATAGGCTGAAGGAGATCCTGGACTCCTGAACACCCATGTAGATAGTCTTCCTCTTGTGAAAACTAGCATGCACCTCTGGTCTAGTCTATCTCTAGACGCTGAGCAGCAACCGCAGGAGTGACAGGACGGATCAACAGCCCAGCAAACCTGGAGGTAAAGCCGGTTTCTGAACGAACAGCTCTAAATGTGTGAGTCTCTCTCTCTCTCTCACACACACACAACAGAAGGGCTACATTTACACACTACCCACAAACAAACAGCTTTTAAAGACTCTCCTTTTCATGTTCCCATCTTAAACACAGTAAATTATTCAGCAGATACACTAAAGGAGAGAGAAAGAGAGACAGATATTGAAAGAAAAGAAGAAAATGAACAAAAATGTTCATAATATCCCACAACATGAAACAAGTAAAAGAAAAAAAACAAGAGACAAGGAAATACAGCTTTAAAGCATTTGTTCACCCAAAAATGAAAATCCTGTCATCATTTACTCACCCTCATGTTGTTCCAAAGTTATAAAAGTTATCCATATGTGAATGAAGCCTGAAAATGCATGTTGGATACGCAAGGAGAAAAACCTCACTTGTTCTTGAGCATCAAGCATGCATGTTTAAGGTAAATGATTGACAAAATTGAGAGTAAGTAAATGACAATCTTCATTTTTGGGTTAACTATCCATTTAAAGGAAAAAATACATTATATCAAAATTAAGATTTCTGTGACCTTTAGTCTGTATGTGTGGCTGTTAGCCCTAAGGACTTAAAAAAATTATTACACAATAGATTACATAAAGAGTAGTTTGTAACATACTCTATTAAATTACTAAGCAACATAACCAAAATATCAAACAGTGTTACTTCTGTTAATTTATCCTCCATCTAAGGATTCTTTTACTGCAAAAAAATTGGTTGGAAGTTGAAACTCATAAATTATAATCATGCCTAGTAACAGGGCTATAACAAGTACCTTTAAGGCAAGCCATTTCACTCAGTGGCCATCTTTGAAATACCTCTTGGGCATTCAAGTGCAGCTCCTATCTCTTTGAATGGGGAAACATTAAATTCTCCAAAATTGTTCGCAAATCTTACGAATACATTTCAAATTTGAAATCACCAATGAAATCTGACAACAACTGTCTCGTAAATGTTGTTTCTTAAAAAAGCTTATTTTTCAGGCTTGACCAGTCAGTGCGTATGTACAGTCCTAAGCACACGTCTCCAGAACATGCTCCAGAACGTTGACTGTTTCTATAACAACCGGGACTTCTAATGGCAGCTGCAGTGATGCGATGACTTTACCGATTAGTGATTGGCTCTTTTATTCAGAAGGCGGGGCTTCCTTCGATAGAGCGGCCATATTGAGCGTTGCATTTTTCCCCATTCAAAACTATATGAGTGACATGTCTTGTGTATTCTATAGTCTTTGGCTATAAATAGCATTTTAGCTTAGCAATGAAAACTGCATAATTTTCAAGTTTCCAGTTTAATAAATGAAGTTTCGCAACAAGAAGCAAATCATGCTAAGTCATGGTCCATGACTTTAATAAGCCTACTGGCCCAAACTTCCTCTTTCAATAATATACACAAACTCAAGACAAAAATCTGTGCTTGTTTAGCTGTTTCATGTGGTCTTTAAAACAAGCGCTTATATATGGCATTCCCTGAAACCTCCCTGTCTATCTGTCTGTGTGTGTGTGTGTGTGTGTGTGTGTGTGTGTGTGTGTGTGTGTGTGTGTGTGTGTGTGTGTGTGTGTGTGTGTGTGTGAGTGAGCGGGGGGGGGGGGGTGTGG